TTTCATGATCCAAAACCATCCATTTGGGTGCCATTTTCACAGCAACATTCGTTCTTGAAATCCTATCAACTTCATCTCCATTTGGTTGTCATTTTCATCTCTGTTTGTTGTTGATGTTGTTTGTTTCTAATTGAAAATCCATCAACCATTGTTTTGTTGTTTTGAATATGATTATTTTAGGTTTTCATCTCCGTTTAGCTTTTCATCTCTGTTTGTTGTTGTTTTGTTGTTTCATGTACCAACAAGAGGTGCTATTAAGGAATTTGTTAATACCAGTTAATCCTTCCTTTCCTTTTTCACTAATTATGATTGAAACTTGTCAGTGTTCTGCTTTGTGGATGATTTTGCTGCTTATTTTTTGCTTATATCAAGACTTTGGAATAAAATATTTGTACTTTTTGTTTTCATCAAGTTATTTCTAAACCTCAAAGCATATGTGCCATATTAAGTAAAGTGAGGATTGGAATTAAACTGAATTTCTGCAGCTTGATCTGATTTATGGGAATGTTGATGTCCAACTACAAAGCTCTTTTATTGTTATTAACTTTGTATATTCAGTTCAATAAAATTATATTTTAAAAACCTCTGTTTATCTGGCTTTTTTGGAATTATAACAATCTGGCATGTAAATAGATAGCAAATCCTGGATTTCTGGTGGTCGTTGGTCTATACACAATGGTGTGACAGTGTAATTGCATTCTTATGTGAGTATCTAAATATAGAAAAAACTATGACATTTAGATGACGTTGTACATTTTTTTAGGAATCTATGTCAGAGGGAGAACAACTCCGCTTGAAAATCATTTATGTTTTTCTTTAGTTCCCCTTGCATCATACATGTTTAAATATGCTAATCACCCTGTTAGTATTCTGCTGCAACTTCGTACTGGATTTTGTCAAAGTAATATAGTTCCTTTAACATTCATGACTTAAATATATTATTCATATTTGAGCAACTTAGTGTTGTTTATAGTGATGTTATGTAGTTCATTCAGATGGTGCTCATTATTCTAACATCTCTTTGCCTTTTTCTTTTCCATATTTTATCATGCTAAGCTTGTGCCTCTTCACTTTTTGCCTCCCTTAAAATTCTTGGTTAAAAGCAATCAGCCTGTAGGCTGTATATTGTCTCTATCATTGTACCAAGGCTTCATGGTTAAAATATTGGAACACCTTGCAAGGAACAAAGATCTTGTTCTCTTGGATATGTTTGCACTTGGTTATTTGGTAATTATGTCCAATTCTTTTCCTCTTTCCTTTTATCTCTATGTTAGAGTCTATAACTTCGTTTATCAGTACGTATCATTGGCTTATATTTGGTAGATCTTATTATGGATCTTCAATGTACTTGTTTTTTGGTGTCTTATAACACCAATAGATCAAGAGAATTAATGTGTTACATTCCCCAATGCTGATCATGTTTTTGTCCAGAACTTGTCGACTCATTCTGTTAAATGTCTACGGGCTTTGATAGTCTTACCTACACATGACTTGGCGTTGTAGGTGAATTCCTATTGTAAAGAACTAAAATTCCCTTTCAGATTCTTTTACAATGGCAAGAACTAACTGTTATGCCTTTTCTTGGTCATTTGGATCCTTCTTTTCGTAAGGTACTTTGTTGTTTTTGTCTCGCGGTTAGGATTGCAAATTTCAGTGGATATATAAGGAGAAGGAGACTATTTAAATGCTAATGGTTAAATTATTTCAGGTATTTGATGAAACAGATCGGCTGTTCAGAGAATCATACCAATCTTGGTTGCCAACTGTACTTCAGTTGACTCAATCTAATGATGAAAGCCTCTTTCCTCTCGCTAATTCGTTTTTTCATCTACCTTTGGTTCTTTAAAAACCATAAGGAGATTGTAAGTTCTATGTTCAGTAACATTTCTCAAAATCAGGAAGAGCTTATGGATTGTTATGTAGTGTTGGTTGATTGATTTTGCCTTAAGATTTCGGTTAATGCTTTGTTTATTGTAGTGAACAATGACGAACAACATTATATTTCAAATGGATATTTGTAAAATTTGATTTATATATTTTTATGTATTTTTACTTTAAGTGGAATCATAATTACATTTCAAGGTTGTTATTCGATATTGTTACAGGTTAAATTTGTGTAATAAAAAGAAGAAAAAACCATAGAAAATCAGTTGTGATTAGCGGCGTTTTAGAATGAAAAACGCCACTAACGGAGTACAAAAATTACGGTATTTGTATTAGAAACGCCGCTATAGAACATGACTGTTGCGGCGTTTGTATAAAAAACGCCACTATAGAACATGACTGTTGCGACGTTTGTACAAAATGCGCCGCTATAGAACCTTACCTGTTGTGGTGTTTGTATAAAAAACACCACTATAAATCATAACATATAGCGGCGTTTGAAAGAATAAATGCCGCTATATAACTCGACCTTTTGCGATGTTCGTTTTAGCAGCGCTTCTTGCGGCGCTCTTACTAGCACCGGTAGTGTTTTTCGCTGTGCTTAAAAATGCTGCTATAGGACTAAAAAAATGCCACTAAAAACCTTTTTTGCTTTAGTGTCGACGTTTACCGTGGGCACGATAACTCGAATGGGTCCAAATATAAAAATAATTTAATATCAATTAAAATAGTAATTTAATCAGGAAAATCATTTTCGAACAATCATATCTGAACTTCAAAATTTGAGGCGTTACATGTTGAGTGTTTTGAGTGTTAAATATGTTTTAATGATATTTGCGATGATTTAACCTAAAAGATGTTAGAAAAGATGACTTGATAGTCTTATAAACTTTAAGATTCATGTAAGGCCTTAAAACGAGTGATTAAAGACAACTTGAAGTGATTTCTAAACTTTTTTTCTGAGGTTTTTTTGGGAACTAACATCTATATAGTTCATACAGTATCAATACCAAATAAATTTAGCATATATGTTTTAAAGGGGTAAGTATCGATATTGTTATGAAGTATGAATATTGTTCAAACAATATCAATACTTGCTTGGAAAATATAAATACTACTGAAGGAGCATATATACTTGAGTATCCATACTCTCTGATTGAGTATTCAAACTTTTTAGTCGAGTTTTCATACTTCTTACTGTTAAAAGATTAGAAACACCTCTTGTTAGGCCTTAACACCTTCAAATAGCTTTGAAATGAGTAAATAAGTTTAGTAGGAGATCCTAATACTTGCAGTGACTAAAATGAACTCAAGTGATGTAAAATACCAACATATCCCTAAATTTAATAATTGATTTTGAAGGTCTAAACTTGAGGAATGAGTAAAATTCACTTAGGTTTATTAATGAATCTTGGAAATCACAAGTTCTTGAAAATAAGTAAAAACTCCTTTAGCGCTAAAATGACTGAAGTATCTTTAAGGGTAAAAATAATCAAAGTACCCCTGTGTGACGGAAAGGATTATGAACACAACTAGGGATTTACCGAGGAAGGTACTAGGGATACTATCACATCCTTTAGAAATTTTAGATTCCCTTATATATTATGTATTTTCTTTGTATTTTATATGAATTATTTGATTTCACACCCTCCGAGATTTTATAATCTCGTACTCCCTAAATTTTAACATAATGTTTTATATTCGTATCTCTGACACAAATTCCTACGCCTGTCCTTGTCCACAACTCAATAAATCTTTATATATCAGTCAATAAGGCTTATTAAGGTCCATATGCTACTAAATGATTAATATACCCTTATGGATAATTTTCTGAGATTGAGCCATAATAAAAAATAAGTTATATGGTGACTTGAGATAATGGATTGCACTTAACTCGTGAATATTTACCGTAATTGATTGGTTATGCTATGATATTTGGTCTTAAAGGTGATGTTTATTAATATGTATGGCTATATACGGTAGAGGACTATCAATTCCTACAACCTATCCTTAGTGACACCAGGTATCCACACTTTATATATATATATATATATATTATGGGTAATGCGTTGTCTGATGCTTAGTGACATCATGTACCATTGTCACCTTCATTATTTGATATGCTTACTGACATTAGAAGCCATTGTATCCTATAAATATTGATACTATGATTGTGTGAATAAGTCCAATTGCTACGTACTAGATGTGTGGTTAATAGTACTCTTGTACTGATACACGATTGAATGTTGTTGAGAATAATATCTTGAATAGTGATAATATATGTTTATGCTCATGCCTCTTTACTTATACTTACATTGTATGCCTATATTTACTAATTATATGGAGCATAGTAGAGTAGAAGTATGCTATTGAGCTTGTAATGATATTTTTGTTAGTAGGTTAGCAAATTATTCATCCTAAAATTAGTTGATTCGTAGAGTTCAAAAATATTAAGAAAGCTTGGTGGTTGAAGGGTAATCAGTAGAAAGTTTGGTGGGTTGTGTTATGTGGGTCTGGCATGGGTTTACGTGCCGAGGTGATTGTGCATGGGCCCGGGTCCGATTTTTGTGGCACATGCCTCCGAATTTTACAAGGTCCGACGAAATAAATAATAGCAGTAACAATAATATAAGTTATCTCGATGTGTATAGGAAGTAGGAACGGGGATTGCCTGCCTTGATCATATTGAATAAGAAAAAGAGAACCATGAAAATCACATGCAGATGTAATTAATATATATAAGGTCTGTAAGAAGAAGCTTGCGGAAATTTTTTGACTATAAATGCAGAGTATATCGCAGGAAATAATATCGTTCAAGGAAATTAGAACAAATTCAAAATAATAGTAATAACAAAAGTTATCCTGATCTTTCTAGGAATTAGGAAGGAAGATTTGATCCTATAAAATAAGAAGAGAGAAGCATGAAAATCATATGTGGGTGGTGTATATGGATTAATTAAAATAAATGAAGTCTAATTGAGAAGAGGATTAAAATAGAGGTGATGATTATCCTGTAAAGCCTTTGAGGGAAACTTTGCCTATAAATAAGAGCATATCCCAGGAAAGGATATATTTTTCAAAGCAAGCAGAAGAATAGGCCAAAAAGAAAAAGAAGAATGGAGAGATCAGTAATTAGGGTTATAATAATTAGCTGCATTGTGACGTTGGGGTGGGCGGTAGGTTCTTCCATGGCTGCTGAAAATGCGACAGCTTACTATGCGAGCTACAAGGTTATAGAGAATCACTGGAGTCTGACAAATGTAGGCGTTTACTGTTCCCAGTTCCCTGAATATGCCAATAATCCTTTTGAATGGCGAAGCAAATATTACTGGACCGCCTTCTGTGGACCGGAGATTCCTAAGCCACAATCAAGATGTGGACTCTGCTTAAAAGTAAGCGCTCTTTGTTTTCAAGCAAAATAAATTTGTTTCTGTTTTACTAGAAACCATGCGTGCATGAATTGACATAATGCATATATGCATGCAGGTGACTAACACTGCCAATGGAAAAAGCGTGACGGTGAGAGTGCTGGATACATGCACCATGCCAAGTTTGGATTTGGACCATCCAGCGTTTTCTGAGATCGAGGATTACAAAGGCGGGCAAGACGAGCATCTTACAGTGAACTATGAACTTGTGGATTGTGGTGATGATCCTACAATTCGTCTCTATCATGCCCTCTAATTAACCTTAAATCTCTTTTTAAACCTCAGATTCCCCACTTTGTTTCATGATCAACATATTAGATAAATAAATAAATATGCAGTTACTGCATGTAATAGCTACCCAGCGAAATGCTTGCTTGCTCTTCAGTTTGTAATAATGATCATCCTGTATAACAAGTGTACGTGGGATTCATGATCACTGCTTAATTATCAACTCATTTGCTTGCTTGTATGTATTACTCTCTATTGCAGCTCTCAAGGTCCATAATATCATTATTATCTCCTTAAATAAGGCGCTACTAGTTTCCTTTTTATGGATAATCAACCTAATTTTGCTACCCTTATGTTAAACAATAATCTTAATTATATAATAAAAAGTCAAAATTGCCAATTTAAGTGAAATACTAAAGGACTCGTTGTTTCTTATTTTGACATGAACTAACAGTATACGCTAGTAATCTCTCTTTTGACACTTCTTACAAAGCACTAGGGCAATACAAATCACTTCCCACGCAAATAAACAAAACAAAAGGAAGCTAAATATTAAGGGATCAATTAGTTCGAAAACACCAAAACATAAAACTACCGAACATTCACCGTGCATCAATAATCGTAATATTAAACAATAGTTGAGTCACAATAATTAGCCCACTAATCATAATATTTTAGTGGATTAGTTGAAACAAAATGTCGTTAGAGTGTATCACATATTTTGAGTAAATTAATCTTTTTAAAATAGCATGATAACTATATGTTTTTGTAATCCATTTGTTTATTATTTGACCCGTATGTGTATTAATATTTGACTGAATTTAAACAATACATGTAATGATAAATGTGTGACAATTTTTTCTCAGCAAAATGATTTATTTATTATTCATGGAAATATAATCTAAAAAATGACCCTCATTAAAAGCCCCTTAAATCTAGTCAAAAGAAAAGAGTACACCACAATCATAATAGGAACTAAACAAGAATCATCAAAACACAACATCCACTACTTAACAGAAAACAAACAAGAACGCATATTAAAACCCAGAGAAGGTTTGCCCCTTTAATCTTTCAAGAAAAGCAGCCTTGAAGCTTACCATTACCATCAAGCTTTGAAATATTGTCTTTTTAATCCAGCCTATGTGAGATAATACGTCATTGTATTTCTTTCTCTAAGAGCATATGCGATCTGAACCTTCCGTAAAGAGCAAACCATTCAATTGATCTCTTAAAAAATATCCAACCACCTTCAAAGACGCTGGAGGGTTGAAGTAACCCAGTTCAAAACTACTTGAGAGTTAGATTCGATTTCCAACTCTGCTTTTCCGGTCCAATTAGCCTCCCTAAAATTCTATGCAATTTTATGTGAGAAATATATTAGTCCAAAGATTAATCTATTGTGCCAACACTTGTTGGCACAAATGGTTGAGATTCATGAATTTGAGCTTGTAAGGCCGAGTTCAAATATCACCATCGTCACTCTTGGTGGGCAATCTATAAAGTCCTATGTAAATCTCAATTGGGTCTTAGGTATGCTCTGACTCTGGACTGGGGGAGCTACCACTGACCTAAACTTTTGTGTACCAAAAAAAAGAAGAAGATTAATCTATTGTTTGAGAAAGGTTATTGCTGATGTTTGAATGCTATAATAACAGTACTGTTAATTTTTAATATTTTATTATTGTCCAAAAACTTGATATTATTGTTGTGTTTGGTATCTCGTGATGGTAATTAATTATTATTTTTAATTTATTGTCTACTCACTAATATTAATGGGAATTTATTTTAAAAAAGTTGTTTTATATTCAACTAATTCTTCTTGTGTCATAGTATTTGGTAATATTAATTCAATACTAATTTTTAATGGAAATATTTTAAGGAATTAAGAATATACTTATTGATTATGCTTGGTTATACATACATAGACCTTTTATTAAGAAAATAATACACTTATATTATATATGTATTAGCTTCCATGCAAGCTCTCTATGCTATAACAATAATAATGATATGTTTAAAATTTGTTTGATGTCTCTATATTCTTCGTACATTTGATTTTTTTTATTTTATTTTAAAGTTAATTTCAATTGATAATATTATTAAAATTCTTTTTATTAGAATTATTTATGTGATATTTTAAAATTATCTATAGCAATAAAAATGATTGCTTTTTAATGATATGAATTTAGTAAAATAAGGTTAAGGATATTAACAAAGAATTTTAAATTTTTAATGATAGGAAAGTGCATCTTGTCATGATAAATCATTGTATGAGTTAATTTCAAATTTTTTATCGATTCAAAATCCAATTCATTTCAAATCCTTCGTAGAACTTAGAATATATACTCTGAGCTTGTGTAATCTATTTTGAGGATTGAGGAGAGAAATCTCTACCTTTGATTGAATTTTCTTAACAAAAAAAATTATCAATCCTCAATTCAGATGACTCTGTTTGAAATATTATATGGTTATAAATGTAGAACGCCTTTTTGTTGATCCGAATTTGAAGAAAACAAGTCTTTAGGCCTTGATTTAATCCGGAAAATTGAAATAAAAGTTACTTATATATGTGATCGACTGATTTTTTCTATGATAGACAAAATTCTTATGTAGACCGTAAAAGAAAAGACATTGAGCATTATGTTGGGGATAAAGTCTTTCTTAAAGTATCTTCGTGGAAGAAGATCCTTGGTTTTGATCGTAAAGAAAAATGCAATCTCTGATTTATCATTCCATTTGAGGTAACTAAAAGAATAGGCTCATTGGCATATTCATTAGTTTTACCCTCTGAATGAAACATAATTCATGACGTGTTTCATATCTCAATGCTTCACAAATATCAATCAGACCCTTCGCATGTGATTCAACTAAAGTCTATGGAAATTCATTCTGATTTAACTTATAAGGGTAACTTATGACACGAGGGGAAAAACGAAATAACATGGATTAATTCTATTGGTAAGATCGATATATAAAAAGGGTAAACTACACAAATAGTCACTAATATCTTAGTTGTTAGAACGGTCCTCAAACCTTAGAATGCACAGCTTGTTACCCTTAACACGAAAACTGAGCCCATTCTCCCTAAAATATTAAACCCAAAATCTAGATCTAAGATAGTAACATTCGTTTCTTGAAGGATTTTAGTTCCCCAGTGACGACGACTTTTAAAGGTAAAAAAAGGTCTTCTCCTCCTATCATTTTTATATTTTCTGTTTAGTTTTCAGTTTTCTTTTGAGATGATGGGTTTTTTTTCCGATCTCTATTTTTCTCGAAACCTCTAGTCTTTTTTGGTTCTATTTTTGTTTGTGAAATCCTTTTCCTTCTTTTTTCGAATAGATGTTGTTGTCTCTCTGTTTTTTCCATGTGGGTTCCTCTAAAAAATCTTTTTCATGGTTTTTTTTTTCTTTTTGATCTACTTCCTCTCTTTGATTGTTGTTTTCTTGCAGGTTATATGGTGAAGGTGGTGACTAGAAGCCAAAGGATGGTCAGTTGAAGGACCAACGTGTTTGGTGTTGGTGCTGTCAAGGATCGGCGTAAATCATGTTTGTGCAGGTAGCATAGTTTCCCTGGGTTAAAGTGCAGTAGCCAATAGTCGAGGCATTGAATGCCCTGAATATCAAAGGATCATGTTCCCTAGTTTTTTTTATTCTTTTTTATTCTTTTGTAATTTTTGAATTCTTTTAATAATAATAATAAATAATAAATAAATATATATAAAGGTGGACAAAAATGGTGATTACAGCTACCCCTCTTTGCTTATTGACATGAAACAAGAATAGAGCAAAGACATATAACACCAATTTTTATCCGACCGAATTAACAACGAATCTCGAGCTCCAAGTTCTTCTTATTATGAATGAGCTCATCTCATTTTGAACTCTCTTCTGGAAACATCGATCCACATTCTTCTATGATGGATTTGATTAAAGGGTCGAACACATTATGTACTTCTTCTTTTTCAGATGAGTTCTTCTCATTTTGAACTCCCTTTTGGAAATATTGACCCACCTCTTTTTTTTATGGATTTGAGTAAAAACATCGAACAAGTTCTTCTCATTATGAACCCTTCTTCTTTGGACGAGTTTTTCTCATTATGAAATCTCTTTTGAAAATGTTGATTCACCTCCTTCTGTGATGGATTTGAAAGAAAGGTCGAACAAGTTCTTCTCGTTATGAACTTCTTCTTCTTTGGACAAGTTATTCTCATTATGAACTTTCACTGAAAATGTTGATCCACCTCATTTTGTGATGGATTTGAAAAAAAGGTCAAACATGTTCTTCTCATTATGAACTTCTTCTCCCTCATTGGACGAGTTCTTCTCATTATGATCGTTTTTCTTAAAATGTTGATCAACCTCCTTCTGTGATGGATATGACCAAAAGGTTGAATAAGCTCTTCTCATTATGAACTTCTTCTCCCTCTTTGTATGAGTTTTTCTTATTATAAACTCTTCATTAAAAATATTGATGGGTCTGCTTCATCTTTGAAGAATTTAGACCTGTAAAATATTATCATATGTCATTGATATTATACTTAAGATACCCAAAGGTAATAACCCGAAGATCTTGGATTATTTCTGAGATCGACGTGGATCAAAATCTTTGTTGAGATTTAATCCTTCGAACACGAAGTAGTAAATTGATATCTTTTTTAATTCTTCTGAATTCCTGTCGAAACACAAAGTGTTTTGATGTAAATGTAGTAGTGGGTAGAAATTTCTTTCAAGAGAAGCTATCTCAAGTCAGATAAAGAAATTTTAAGGGAAATGATTTCGACTCAGATGAAAAAATTTGTTTCGAGGGATAGTATCTAGAGTGAGATGAAATATGTTTCAAGAGAAACTATCTCGAGTGAGATGAAGTTTTTGTTTCAATCAAAACAATCTCGATTTGTTTTGTTTCAAGGGAAAATTCCTCAAGCGAGACAAGATTTTAGTTTCAAAGGAAAATGTCTCGAGTGAGAAGAAATTCAGTGTTTCAAGCGAAACTATCTCAAGGGAGACAAACTGATATTTCAAGGGAAAC